CGTGTGCGTGTGTGTGTGTGTGTGTGTGTGTGTGTGTGTGTGTGTGTGTGTGTGTTCTCTGGATGTTTGTACCTGGAAGCCAGGTGGTCAGGTGTCTTTTTTTTGGTTTTTCGAGACAGGGTTTCTCTGTGTAGCTTTGCGCCTTTCCTGGAACTCGCTCTGTAGCCCAGGCTGGCCTCGAACTCACAGAGATCCGCCTGCCTCTGCCTCCCGAGTGCTGGGATTAAAGGCAGGCGCCACCACCGCCCGGCAGGTGTCTGAATCTTACTGTCCACCTCACTTTTGGAGACTGTCACTGCATACATACAGCCCATTTTGGAGATCCCTCGCTGCATGCAGCACGGCACTCTATTGGCTAGATTGGCAGACCGGTAGACTCCAGCGGTCCACCTTTCTCTGCCCACTCTCCCTCTTACCCTTTACCCGCTCCCCCAGGTTTTAAGGTTATTAGTGTGTGTGACTTTTTATATAGGTGCTGAGGGTTGAAACTGAGTGTCACCTTGTAGCCTTGGCTTTGCTTGGAGCTCTATGTAGCCCAGGCTGGTCTCAAATTTGCTGTCTCCTTCCTGACTCAGCCTTCCAGTGCTTGGCTGGCCGATGCAAGCTTCCATGCCCGGCTTCTCTTCATTCTGAAAATTCTCTGTTCATTCACAAATATTATTTTTTTTTCTACACGTGATCTCAGCCCAAATGCTGAGAAGGTATTTACTGTGGTCCTTTCTTGAAGGCTGTGTGAGAGCCTGGGAGAGAGCCAAGAAAATCAAACCCATAGTATCCCTAGACAATATCTAGGTGTTTAACCCTTTGTTACCTTGCTCGGTGTTTTAGTCTGGCTCATGTTCACTGAGGGGGAGAACAACCTTTAGTTACACAATCGATCATTAGTCTCTCGTTGGTTTTTGAATGTTTATTTCTGCTTTAATTAGCATTCGTTGCACTTACATATTCAGACTAATGAACTCCAGGAGTCCTTCCTGTGAGGGAAGTGCTGCCCTTAGCCCTGCAGACTGACAGACACGTGAGGAAAGTGACCGCTGTCACGCTTCAGTCACGCTTGGGTGACCGAAGGGAAGGGACATTTGTTTTCTGATGGCTAAAGCAGTTTTTAAAGAAATACATTTTCTCACATGGGTAAATGACTAAAATCCCGGCTTTTAAGAGGTGGAGGCAGAGACTAGGAGTTCAAGGTCAGCCTCAACTACGTAGTTCTGGGCTAACAATCACAGCAGTTCCCACGTCTGTTTCCTTCCCTCCATTCTCCCTTCCCGTTCTTCCTCTCTTCTCTTCTCTTCTTCCCCCCTCCTTTAAAAGGCAAGGCTCCCGGGGCTGGAGAGATGGCTCAGTGGTTAAGAGCACTGGCTAGTCTTCCAGAGGTCCTGAGTTCAATTCCCAGCAACCACGTGGTGGCTCACAACCATCCGTAATGAGATCTGGCGCCCTCTTCTGGCCTGCAGGCAAACATGCAGACAGAACACTGTATACATAATAAGTAAATAAATCTTAAAAAAAAAACAAAAAACTTAAAAAAAAAAAGCCAAGGCTCCCGTGTCTGTATACGACGCCCTTGGGCAGTGTCTGCATTGCCGTGGTTGAACACACTGACCATTCCAGTTCCGCATCTCTGACTTTGACCCCAAGCATCGCTGTGCCCATGTCCCTCAGCCCTCCTCCGCATTGCGGTCAGGGTGCTCCTCCATGCGATTCCAGGAAGTCTCCCTTCCTGGTTAGAAGTCTTCAGTGACTCCCTGTGCCATCAGATACAAACTCTGGTTCCTCTGCGCATTCAGCCTCAGGTCCTGCCCACTGTCCATCTCACTTGCCTAACTGGATACTATTCTCTTCCTGTCCTGTCCTCCCCCATGACTCTGGAAAAAGGCCTCTTTTCATCCCGTCTGTTGGACACATGGACCCTCCTTTAAGACTTGACTCTCAGGTTCCTTGATTAGTCTAGACAGAGAAATCCCTGCCTTCCTGGTGTCCATTGCTCCTTGCGCATGCTAGCTGACATCCCAGGGTTTTATAATGGTCTCCCTGCAAGTCCTTGTCCTACTAATCTGCTCCCACTTAGAAAGCAGGGGCTTTGTCTTTTCAACTCAATATGTCTAGCCTAGGAGCCTGGATCATAAGTGCCATGGCAGCAAAAAATATATCCATTTGATCCGCAGTTGCTATTCCCTGAATTTACCAAATGGGCCTGATGTGTGGTAGGTGTTCATTTCATGTGTGTGGAAAGCATGAATGGTGGATGTTTTTAAATGTCCTGTAGTGGTTTGGCCCAAGGATTGAAAACTGAAGAGCCATCACTGTAATCAAGCTAAGGTCCTATTTCATGTGGCCTTAAGGTACCACAAAGTTTCTAAATTTCACAGCTGTGGATAGAGTGTGTGCCTCTCCACTTCCTGCTGTGCACTCCAGTGCTTCAATTGCGTACTTAGCCCCCTCTGCTCATCTTGGGCCTGAGGGGCCTGAGACATGGTGCTGGGGTGTGGGAAGCTGGCACTGATTGATTTTCTTGGGGGTGTCGTAAGAAGATACCTAGAAGAGCAGCTTCTGCAGCAGGAGTCGATGTCCCCATAGTCGTGGAAGCTGGAATTCAAGATCAGAGTGTTCACAAATTCTTCAGCTTGCAGGTGGCTACCTTCTTTAATATTTTTTAACACATTTATTTATTGTTGGGTGCCAAGGCATGCATGGAAGTCAGAGAACAACTTGTAGGAGTCATGTGGGCTCCAGGGACCAAACTCAATTCTGGTGATGAGGGCCCAAGATGGCCGTCTTCTTGCTGGGTCATCTTGTGGTCCCTGTCCTCATAGCCTCTTCTTTAAAGGACTCCAAACATTATTTCAGGACCCATCTGGGTGATCATTGGATCACCGCTCTGAAAAGCTGATCTCTAAATGCAGCCCCCTTCTGAGCCACCGAAGGCTGGGGCTTCAGCCAATGAAGGCAGCAGGACTGTATCCCATAGGAGGCAGGGGCGGGGCTTCAGCCAATGAGGGCAACAGGATTGTATCCCATAGGAGGCAGGGGCGGGGCTTCAGCCAATGAGGGCAACAGGATTGTATCCCATAGGAGGCAGGGGTGGGGCTTCAGCCAATGAAGGCAGCAGGACTGTATCCTGTACAAGGCAGGGGTGTGGACTCTGAGCATCTGTGGTTGCTTCCTTGTATCCAATTCCTGTTTTATAACATGTCAATAAAGAGGAGCCCAGGAACACTCCTGGCAGAGCGCAGTGCCTTCCAGTCAAACGATCTCAACTCCTAGTGCTTTTGATCTTGGGCTCACACGCATAGATCTTAAGAAACCAATGTTTCAAAATGCCAGGTAGAACTTGGGTGTTTTTCTGTCTGGAAATCTGTCCCCTTTCGTTTTGATCTTTTGGAAAGCTGACCTGTGGGCTGCACACTTCCTTTGTGTGCAGGCTTTGGTGGACTGGGAGATAAAAGTCAGGTAATGACATGGCACCACCTCCGTTTGCTGTAAGCAAACAGTCGGGTTCTTTATTACCCTTGAAATGGGCACTCGTGACAGGGGTTGGACTCAGAGGAGCGAGGCCATGCCAAGTGTCTGTGGGTCAAAGTTCCTCCAGGCACTGCATGTTAATCAGAAGTTCAAGCCTAGTGAGCTTAGCCACTGCGCTGGGGAGAACTTTGGAATAAATGATTACTGAGTTGGATTCAGGAGTTATCACGCTTCATAATTCCTTTCTAAGAGGCAGGCTGCAGTCTTCCTTGGTAGGGACAGGAGTGAGGCTCTTGTCACAGTTTAATTCATTCTCTGTGGAGTGGTACTATAAAATAAAATTTGCTGTACAGAACCTGGCTACTCAAAAGCTACTCAATTTTTAGTGGCCATAAAAATTTGAACAGTCCCAGCCCTCGGGAGGCAGAGCCAGGTGGATCTCTGTGAGTTCGAGGCCAGGCTGGGCTACCAAGTGAGTTCCAGGAAAGGCGCAAAGCTACACAGAGAAACCCTGTCTCGAAAAACAAAACAAACAAACAAACAAACAAAATTTCCAACAGTTAGGAAGGCCCACCTGTGTGAGCAGAAAAGCCAGCTGTAAAGGGCTCCCGAAGCTGAAGGAATCTATAGACCCCTTACTACTTCAGTCCATCACGGTGTCTCTCACATGTAATCACAACACTTGGGAGCTGGAGAGAGGACTATCGGGAATTCAAGGCCAGCCTCACCACACAGTACGTTAGAGGCCAGCCTGGGCTTCGCGAGACCCTGTCACAAAGCAAAGCCAGAGAAAACAATGGCCAAGATCACCCGGCTTGCAGGCAGCAGAGCTGAGCTCTGTCACCATGTTGAATGTGGAGGGTTCTCCTCTCTCGTCTTCCCCTCTCACTCAGAGTGAGACGTTTTCCCCTTCGAACGTCACATAGCTAACGTGAGTAGCGTTGCGAAACCGTCAAAAGGACGTCACCTCTTTCCTTGGGGGGAGTTTCTCGTAATGCTGGGTTATATTCCCTTGTATGACGGAAACACCGTGTTTTTCTTCTCACCTCTCTTCTACCATTATCGGTCGTTCTTTTAAAAGAAATGAAAGCTGGGTGGTGGTGGCGCACGCCTTTAATCCCAGCACTCGGGAGGCAGAGGCGAGTGGGTCTCTGTGAGTTCGAGGCCAGTCTGCTCTACAGAGTGAGTTCCAGGAAAGGCACAAAGCTACACAGAGAAACCCTGTCTCGAAAAACAAAACAAAACAAACAAACAAAAGAATTTTCTATTACATTTACTTATTTTGCATGTACATGTTTGGGGCTGGGTGGGGGTGGGGAGAGCGTGTGTACCATGGCATGCACATGGAGTCAGAAGACAGCTTGTATATGTTGGTTCTCTCCTTCCATCGTCTCGGTCCTCAGGACTGAAGGCAGGTTGTCAGGACTGAAGCCAAGCGCCTTTACTCTTGGAGTTTACTGGCTGAGCCTTCTTCCTGGCCCCCACCGGTGGTTCTTAACAGCACTTGTGGGTTCCTAATGCCATCTTTTCCATTTCACAGCTCAGGAAACAAAGACATTAGAAGGACACTTGGCTCTTGGCTACCCAGCCTCACGCAGCCGTTCCCCAGCTCACTGGAGTTTGGTAAGTTAAGGTGGCTTCATGTTGACCACTGCTCAGATGAACACAGCACAGGGGTTTGGAACATTATGTAGCAGGTTCCATAGGCACATGATCGTGCTTCCTCATTATTATTTTTATCTTCAAGATTTATTTTTATTGTTTAGTTTTATGTGTATGCCTGTGTGTCTGTATGAGCGTCTGCCATGTGTATGTTGTTGCCCAGGGAATCCAGAAGAGGGATTGGATCTGCTGGAGCCAGAGTCACAGACCGCTGTGAACCACCTGATAGGGGTGTTGGTCCTCTGAAAGAGCAGAAAGTGCTCTTAACCACTGAGCCATCTCTCCAATCCCTTATTATTCTTATTAAAAATAAATAAATAAATAACCGGTATATTGTTTTATCTGTGGCACAGTGGCCGACCTGAGCCTGCCACTGCCCTGCTGCTGAGGCCGAGGCCTGGACGAGCATTAGTGTCTCCACGACCACAGCCTCTGCTCCTGCCTCAGCTGCGGGCACCTGGGGAGCCAAGTGCTGGTTTTTAACCAAGTCTCTATTGTTTGATTTTATCAATAAAGACTCCGGAGCCAGATGCTGGGGTGGAAACCTGCTAGCTCAGAGGGACAGAGAAGGCACCCAGCTGACCTTCCTCCTCCGCCATCCTCCCAGAAAGAGGGCTCTCTCCTATGCCATCTGAAACAAAAACTCCTCCAAACGATGTCCCTCCCTTCTACTTCCTGTGCCTCCCCCCACCCACTTCCCCTCACTCTCTACGGTTGCTTCCAGTCAACTGGTTGCTTGCTCCGCCTCTTGACCTATGGTTGATTTTATTTAAATAACTCAATCTCAGGGTCCCCAGTGTGATCAAATGTCCTGCAACACCAACGCCACCTTGTTTTATTTTTAGTTAACATACCAGGAGAGTACCCTGTAAGTTTGTCAGTACCAATGTCCCGACAAGAGTGGAAAAGGAATGATTTGTCTGCCTTGGTTTTGTTTTGTTTCGTATTGGTCTTGATGGGCATATTTAGTAGTGAGTTCACACTTGGGCTGCCTCTGGATTCTCCTTCACTCTGCAATGCCGCCCTCAGCACACACCCCCCCCATCAACCGTGACCTAAGAAGCCTGCAATTGGGGTGTATCTTATGGAGATAGATGATGGCAATCCTTACATAACCCACATGAAATGTTCACAGGGGGCAGTGCACTTCCTTTTGGGGGAGCGGGGCACTGAATTTTCAAGAGGAGACAATAGTGCGCTGACTGAATTAATGGGAACCCTGTGCTTACCAAGTGAGAAATTTAGGATCCTACTACTAGAGGAGAAACCTGTTAAAGGTATAGAGAACGGCAGCCGAGTTATGCTGTAGGAGAAGCAGGTTCTTCCAAATCACATGGCCTCACACCCATGTACACACAGGTACCTACCTACCTATGCACCCACACACATGAGCCCCCAAAAACATGTACATACATGCCTGCAGACTACACACACACACACACCACACACACACACACACACTCAAAAATGGAGAAAGAAAATAAATGAGTCTCTGATGCTGTCTGGAGCCAGAAGTTGACTGTCGGACAAAGTCTGGAACTTAAGTGACGTTTCAACAGACTCAGACAAAAGAATGGCTTAGTAGGGAGAGAGGGACTGGGGACAGGCAGCACTGACGACGGGGACAGCCATCTGAGGGTTCCACCGTAATCCGCGAGCATCAATAGCAAGGGTTAGCACAAACCCGGTGGGTCCAGGTGTGGAACAAGGACGTGGTTACCTGTCTGGAACGATCTCTGACGTCCTTGCAGAGGTAGATTTTAAGCTGAGGGTAAGATGTTGTTGCTGCTGTGGCTGGAGTTCAGACAGAGCTCTTCCCGTATTCCTGGAGCTGGGTCTTAAGTCTGGCTTTCCTGTCAGTCCTCTCTAGTGCGCTCACCTGCATCAATCCTGACCGGACGGCTTCTGGGGAGAGTCGGCCTCACCACCCACAGGCTCCTCTTTCTTTTTACTGCATTTCAATGGGAGCCGGCAAAGGTGATCACCCGCGCAGTCATTCACCCCCCAGCCAAGGCCGAGTGTGCAAAAGTGCATGGGGTGAGAGGAAACCTGCCCTCAGCTCCTTGACTCATGCTGACGCCTTCCATCCAAAGTACTGTTGAAGTCAATGTTGTCGCAGATGCCTGTGATCCCAGAACTTCAGAGATGGAGGCGGGAGTTCAAGGCGGTCCTCAGTCTACCCACCTACCTATCTCTCTCTCTGTCTCTGTCTCTCTGTCTCTCTGTCTCTCTGTCTCTCTCTCTCTCTCTCTCTCTCTCTCTCTCTCTCTATATATATATATATATATATATATATATATATACTTACACACACACACACACACACACACACACACACACACACACACAAATATGAGAGAGAGAGAGGATAAAGGGGGACTCTAGCTTTGAACTGGCCATCCCGAGCTTGATAGTTTCGAAGTCGGGGACGAATTTGAAGGCTTGGTTGTTCTTTGGAACTAATGAAATTGATATCTTTTCAAGATGTTTATAATCTCCCTCCACCACCTCCCTCTGGAAATTTTACCTTAGTCCGAGATCAGAGTTATCAGTTTCCAAGCAGAAGAAAACCTGAACTTTTATTATGAACTTCTTGTTTCTTCCTTGGCTATAACTTAAAAAAAAAAAAAAATTCGTGTGTGTGTGTGTGTGTGTGTGTGTGTGTGTGTGTGTGTGTGTGTGTGTATGTGTGTGTGTATGTGTGTGTTTCGGGGGAGTCAGAGTTCCTGATGGGAACTTCAAATTAAATAGTGCAACATCTTGAGTCCTGACCCTTTCTGACTAATTGTCCTTTAGACCCCGTTCCAAAGAAATCCATGGGTTAGGAGGTAGGTAATCTACTAGGTAAAATCAGAGGACAACTTTTGGGAGCTGTTCTCTCCTACTGTGGGTCCCAGGGATCAAACTCTGGTCCTCTGGTTTGGTGGCAAGCACTCTTAACCATTGAACCACCCCATCAGGTCAAACAGGACTTTTATGGTGGTGGTGGTGGTTGTTAAGTGGCTGGTCATGTTCCCAAACTAAAGCTCAGCCAACGAAATGACCAAGTCCTCAGAAGCAGCTTTTCATACAGCCCCTCCAACTTGGTTGGAGAACAAGTCCTCAGAAAACAACCCCCTCCTTTCATTTCAAGAAGGCATCCACAGGTGAGGGCCTTTGAGTCGCGCAGTGCGTGGGGCCTGTATGAGGGAAACTTGGTAAAGAGCAAATATCCCCAAAGGTCAGACGGAACTGAGCAGACCGTCTTGTCCAGTCGTGCGCTAGCAGGGTCCTGTTACAAAGTGTCCCTGGGTGGCTCAAAACAGTCCCAGAAGAGAGGCTCTATAGAAGCAAATTTTCAGCTGCTTCTACTTTTAACAGAATAGTTGTTTGCTTAACACACAGTAGTAGTGTTTACTATATACAGTGTAGCATTAGTACAAAGAAAGGGGAAGACAGAAGACTCACAGTTCAACTTGAAACCTGCCCGGGGCCACTGTGGGAACGATTCTGGGGACTGCCTGAGGGGCGCACACATTATCCCAGCACAACAAGGTCTCTGCAGCAGAGGCCAAGAAAAACCACAAGCTAAAAGGAAATGCTGGGGTTGGGGATTTAGCTCAGTGGTAGAGCGTTTGCCTAGCAAGCGCAAGGCCCTGGGTTCGGTCCTCAGCTCCGGGAACGATAAAGGAAATGCTAACATTAACAGCACCCCAAAGTGAATATTCAGAGCATTCATTTCTTTGAACGAGGATGCAGCTTCTCTAGTGAAGGGCTTTCGGGGCACTGATGGAGCCCTACGCTCCATCCCCAGCAGCTCGCAAAGCTTCAGGTGGTGGTCCATTGCCTGCAATCCCAGCACTTGGAAGGTGGAAGCAAGAAAATCAGAAGAGTGTCATCCTTGGCTACATAAGGCCTTTGACGCTAGCCTGGGATAGAGACCGTATTTAAAATTTAAAAAAAAAAATCATCCACAGAAGTTTCCTAGTGCCGGGTGGTGGTGGTGCACTCCTTTAATCCCAGCACTCGGGAGGCAGAGGCAGGCGGATCTCCGTGAGTTTGAGGCCAGCCTGGGCTACAGAGTGAGTTCCAGGACAGGCTCCAAAGCTGCATAGAGAAACCCTGTCTCGAAAAACCAAAGGAAAAAAAAAAGTTTCCTAGCTTCCATGATTCCTTTAGGCACCTCTTCTCTGACTTGCTTGTGGCAAGAGAGGTAACCCATGTTCAAAACGAAAATGATGGAAAGGTAGAGAGGTGAACCACGGCTTACCCAGTCATGGGGCAGACAAGTACTTGGGTGGTGGCCTACGAGGGAGGTCTGTCTTCTACAAGGAAGAAGTTTATCCCCTCTGCACCTACAAAACGTGTGGTGTCTCTTGGCAGAGTAGCAGGTCGGTGGTGGCTCCATGCTTTGTAGAAACGGGAGAAGCGCGTTTAATGGTTTGGACAGTAGGAAAACCACTCCCAAGTTCTGAGGCTGAATTATTTGGTTAAGGTCAGCGTCACCCCTTTAGGCACATTTCATGGGTGACATTCAAATGTCAGCAGTGGGTTTGGGAACATAGCTAAGGAATAAAGAACTTGCCTGGTATGCAGCAGGCTCTGCGTTCAATCCCCACTACCACAAATGTCAGCGCCACAGCCCCCAAGAACTGAGTCGTCACGCCAGTCATTAGATGTACATCAGAGTCAAGGTTTTCTGTAAGGCTCCACAGCGGCCGAAAACAGGTTGCTCCCAGATGTGTTTGTAGCCACCACACCAAGGACAGACAAACAGAACTCCTGACCTTCACTTCAGCCACACTCACTGGTGTCAATGCTGGAATTAGATGGGAAAAAAAAAAAAAAAAAAAGACAGCAACAGAACATCCACATGGATTTCATCCAGAATGACAAAACTTCTGTGTCCTAGAAATAGATGAGTTATTGTCGAAGCTGAGACCAAGGTCATCAGCACCCAAGGCACACTGAAGCGAAGAGTT